GTTGGGATCCTTTCTACCTCACTGTGGCAGCACATGTAAGCCAACCACCTCAGGAGAGCAGGAATGACTCCACCCGTGTTCCTAGACTTCCAAGTGATGGGGACCTAGGATGATTTCAGTGTTCTGCTAACCACTTTCCCATATTACTTCATTTACACCTCAGAGCCACTCTATGAAGTAAGCACATTTTGGAGGTGAAGACATGAAGCACGGAGAGGTGAAGTCTCTTGCCCGAAGTCACTCTGCTACTACCTTGGCAGGGCCTGAGCTTGAACCCAGAGAGTCAGCAGGCCAGCCTTCCCTGTACCTGACACCAGTGTGACTACTTGGTCACAAGAGAGCCTGGCACCCTGCCACAGGTAGAGGAAGCAGTTCTGAAAAAGCTCCGCAAACTGGGTGGTGTAGTTAAAACAACAGAAATGTATTGTCTCCCTGCCCTGGAGGCTGGAGTCTGAAATCAAGGCGTTGACAAGGGCGGCTCCTTGAGGAGGCACGGAGAGAAACTGTCCTGTGCTTCCTTCCCTCCTGGCGTCTGGTGGTGACTAAGTTAGTCCTTGGCTTGTGGACATGGGCTCCTGCCTCTGGCTCTGTCTTCATGTGGTCTTCTCCCTGGGTGGGTCTCTGTGCCCCAATTTCCTGTTCCTATAAGGGTAGTCATGGGATTGGGCGCACCATGATCCAATGTGACCTCGCTTTAACAGACCCTCTCTCCAAATCAGGTTTGGGGTTAGGACTCAGCATAGCCCGGGGATGCCGTTGCCACCACAACACGAGGTAACAGGGAAATCCTGCCCTGAGTCACAGAAGGGCACACACTGCACACAGCAGGCCACTGGTCGTGCTGTCACAGCAGGCAATTTTTGGGGACAGTGGCAGGGCTGTGCTGAAGCCCGGAATACCTCCTGGCCGGGCATCCGTGACGAATCCTCTGCTCTGGCCCTGCAGGTGGTTTCAATAAAAACATTGCCCAGTTGTTTAGAAACCCTCTGGTGATGCAGAGGACCTGTGGATGTGTCCTTTTGGGCATCACAGTTCTCATTTACCTGCAGCACCTTCATGGGGAGGCCTTGCAGGGGCCTTGAGAGTTTGGAAGGAGGGAGAAGAAGAGGTTTGGCTGTGTGTGTGTGTGTGTGTGTGTGTGTTTGGCACACATGTGTGAGAGTATAACACAGATGTACATGTAGACACTTTTGGGGACACTCCATAGGGACAGATGGACACAGGACACAGAGCCCTGCTTTTCCCAGGGACCCACATGGCCCTCCCTCACTTCCTTAGTCTTTGCCTTCTCATCACCTTGCTGTGAGATTTCTTGGCCCCTATCTACAGTTGCATCAGAGCCCCCTCTTCTCAAGTGGATCTCTCTCTGTGGAGCTCACCTGCGACCCATAGGGTCCCGCTTCAGGGCTGTACCCAGCTCTCCTCACCGGGTGCATGAGAACTGGTGCCCTGCTGTAGTGGGTGTGCAGATGTGCATGGTGGAGCCTAGAGAGAGAGTGCTTGGGGGCTTGTGGGCAGAGGGATCTCAGTGAGGCCCTGGCGGGTTTCCTGCCTCAGGCTCTTCTCCCAGCTGCCAACCACAATTGTTCTTGCTCTGGACAGCGGCCTGAACCCTCTGATCAGCTGACAAGTCTCCTGACCTTTTCTTCCTGCTGGAGTGGGGACCACAGCAGGTGGATTCAGTGGGCCCCAGCTGTGAGGGGCTCAGAGGTCTGTGGCTTCTGGAGCTGAGTCCTGGGCAGGGGCTCCAAAGAGGTGAAGGGTCAGCGGACAGGAGAGTTCCCTCTCCTGAGTGGGGTCTCCCTGGGAACTAGTTTGTCTGGTTCTGATGGAGGAGTGGACCTTCTTGTTTTGGAGCAGACGCAGAGGTGGGTGGCTCCCTGGGCATCAGGCTAGGTAGCACTAGAAATTCCCACTGCTTATCTAGGCTTCATCTCCTCAGGTTGCCTTTGTGGATCTGGAAACCAAGAGTGGGGCTGGAGGCAGGGCAGGGCCGGCAAGGACAGGGTGAGCCCGGGTGTGCCCTGCCCATGGAGTCAGCTGAAGAGCCCTGGTTTTTTACACATCACTCCGGAACTCATTGTATTAAGGCTTCAGGGAAGGACAGATCTGGGTTCCAGTCCTGCCCTGCCTTTTACCCATGGTGACAAGAGGCATGCCTCCTGAGCTTCTGTTTGGAAAGTGGGGGTAACAAAAGGTACAGACTGATGAGAGGGCCACAGGGGAGCAGAATCCCCGCCCCATGCAGGTGCAGAACAGGAGGCACTAAGTGCTCAGTTCCCTCCACAAAGCCAGTGAGTAATAAATGGCACAAGGAACTGGCAGGCGTACACGAGCATAAGCATGGATTGGTCTCTCGATTTTCAGTTCACTGAATTTTCTGACTTCCTTTCAGATGGCTGGAACAAGGCAACACATGGCAGTGGCTCCTAGGAACTTGCTGGAGATAAAAGCTAGTTGTTTGGCCTTGACATGCCCAGTTCTCACCTGGAGAAGGGGTGGAGCATGGCACTTCAGAGTGCTTATTTGTTCTCAGAACGTAACCTTGCTGGGTGTGGTGGTGCATGCTTATCATCCCAGCATGTGGCAGGCTGAGGCAGGAAGATGGCCACAAGTTTGAGGTCAGCCTGGACTACATAGCAAGACCCTGTCTCAAAAACAAACAAACAAGCAAATGGAAAAGAACATAACCTTACTGAGCACTGCGGTTCCTGGCCTCCCTGATGTGTCTGTCTCAGGCCAGGTGACCTAGGGGTGGTAGGGACCCTGTGGGAGCCTGTTCCAAGGCATCGTGACCTAGTCCTCACTAACAAGGCCCTGTCTCCAGCTGGTTGTGTAAAGTGGGTCCCTGGGCACCATACAGCCTGCCTGTGAGGTCAGCTGTGGGCACAGGTGGGGTGGCAGGGTCACCTTAGCACGGCAGAGTGGTCCAGAGCCCTGGAGAGACACTGCCCTGGGCCTCCCACTTTAGGCTGAGGCCCACCCTTGGGTACTTGGGGGATGAGGCCAAGAGGGCTGGGTTCTGACGTGTTCCACAGATGAGGACAGAGAGAATGACTTCCTCAGCACTTGTTCGTTGAGTATGTCATGTGTACTGGGTGATTTTGGGCCCAGGGGCTGGGGCAGTGAATAAAACACAACTTCCTCTTGTGGCTGGAGGTCTGGTAGGCCCAACTCCCTAGTTGTCACACAACCTGGCAAGGGCCCAGGGTTTCCCCTGCCACTTCAACATGGGCCATGCCCCTTCTGGGAGAAAGGGGAGGGAGAGGAGGAAGAAAGGTGGTCAGGTTGGCCGAACTAACTCTTGGGCAGCTCAGGTGCTGGCCATCCTTGTCCTGATCCCACATGTGTAGAGGTTCCATGCAAAAAGTCCCCATCTGGTCCTGGTCGGTAGCCTGGCATGGGGGCACCTGCCAGGCAGCTTAGCTCTGGATCATTCACCCTCAGGTGAGTGCTGCCCCCTGCTGTGTGCTGTGTGTGTGGGGGCTCACACACCTCAGTAGCTGTTGCAAGCAGCCAGGGTGACCTGTCACCACAGACTAGGGGCCAGAGGTGTGCCTTGCTCCAAAGACACTTATCTGGTTTGGTGGATGGCTCCACCCTAGGCTGCTGTTCAGGGGACGAGAAGACAGCCCTTCCTCTTCTGTGTGCCTAGATCAACAAAGAAACCTTTCTTCAGAGCCCTGTGGTGGACTCTCCTGTCCTCTCCGTGGCCAAGGACTCTGGAGAAAGTAGGACGCCCCAGCCTAGAGATTCTCGGCCAGCAGGGAAGGGTAGGAAGGGGCCAGGGAGGCCTAGAGTGGCCACACATGAGGTCCTGCTCCCTGGCCCTCTGAGTTCCTGGCCCTGCCCCAGAGCAGGTCCTCTGCAGCCTGCCAGGCTCCCCAGGTAGTCCCACAAGGGCGGCCAGCAAAGTTCCCCATGTAGAATTCCCAAGGGCTGGGGCTTGTGCAGTCTAGCACACTTAGCCTCTTCTGGAATAAAAGCAAACACTTTCATTGTTCCCATTATGCCACATGATCTTTAAGTAGCCTAGTGGGCTGGGTGTGGCCACTGAACTCATTTTACAAGTTCGGATCAAAGCTCAGGCCACTCCAGTGAAGCGGGGAGGGGTTTAATCCAGGTACTGGCCAAAGATGGGAAGGACTGACCGAAGACTGTTCGCCATCAGGCTCCTAGGGTTTGGGCCCATCCTGCCACATGGGAATGGGGGTCCCTTGGCCTCTGGGAGGTCCAGTGTCCCTATAAGATGACTGGTGGCACTCAGGACTGTCAGGGGTCAGGTGGGAGGTCACCCACAGGCCCTGGTGATACTCACTTTGGGGACCAGCTGGGAGGAAATCATATAGGCCATTCTTTTCCCGCCTGTGGGCCAGTGTGACTGGCCACCTCTCAAAGCCATGCTGGTGACTTGATCTTCCTTCCAGAGTTTTTGGTGGCCCCTGGCAGGGAGTCGGTCCTGTACTGGGTGTAAGGAGGCAGCCATGGTCCTGCCCTCAGGAGTCATAGTCCGGGGAAAGAAACACTATGATATTGTTTCCTGGATGATAGGTGCCTGGAGGTCCTGTGAGCACAGGAATGGGGTCTGAAGTTCACATTTCAGGAGCGGGGCAGGTGTCCTGGAACACGTACTATCTCAGCCAAGAGAGCCCCAGTGTCACACAGCACAGTGGAGATTGAAAAGAAATAAGGTGGGGTGAGGTGGCACACACCTGTAATCCCAGCACTCAGAAGGCCGAGGCAGGAGGATCGCCATGAGTTCCAGGCCAGCCTGGACTCCACGGTCAGTTCAGGACCAGCCTGGACTCCATAGTGAGATGTACACCAACAACAAAAAGTAAGAGGGACCAGGCAGAGGCTCCAGCACAATGGTATCCTGCAGGAGCTGAATCAGTACCTGACTAAATGAGAAATGAGGCCGAGGCCTGGGGGCCTGCTCTCTTGCCTCCAGCCAGAACCGTGGGGCTCTGGGAGACTCTGGCCCTGTCTCTTCCCTCCAGGCACTGGGGCTGCTGGTGTGGGCCCTGATTGCCGACACTCCCTACCACCTGTACCCAGCCTATGGCTGGGTGATGTTCGTGGCTGTCTTCCTCTGGCTGGTGACAATCGTCTTCTTCACCATCTACCTGTTTCAGCTGCACATGAAGTTATACATGGTGCCCTGGCCCCTGGTGGTGAGTATGGGCTGGGGAACTGAGGGTGCCAGTGACAGGACCATGGTGACCTTGCCCAAATGAGAAGGGCCAGGTGCGGGTCAGTGACCTCCTCACTGGCCCTCAGCTGACCTGTGGAGCAGGTGGGGAGAGGGTTGATGTTCAAGTGTGTGGTTTTCTGAGAGCTACCCTTGAAACTTTGTCCGGGAAGGGGTGGGGGTGGATTCACAAGAGGCCATATGGAATCTTGAACCTATTTCTCTTTTTTGAGGGTGGTCAGCGTTTGAGTGCATTGTGTGGGTGGTCAGTGTCTGGCTGCTGGACCCCACGGGTAGCTGGAGGCTGGGGCCAGGCCATAGGAAGCCTTGGACAGCCCCCTGGGGAGGGCCCTGCATCCCAGGAGAGGACTTGAGGGGCTGGGTTTGCCTGTCAGTCTCCTTGGGGGCACAGGACTGAGAGGAGGGTAGAAAGCATTCTGACCAGACAGAGAAAGCTGCTGAGTTTTTTTTTTCTCTGACCTGGAAAACCCCTGCAGCTGGGGTCCAGCCTTTCAGTTAGTAGAGAGGCACATGATTGTAAAACCAGCTGGGCTGCACTAGGCAGCATTGTTTGCAATTCAATAACTTTTTAAGCAGAGGAAACGTGAGTCATCCTCCAGACAGAATGGGTTTGTTAGATCTTGACATCACTGCAGGAGCCAGGCAGGTGTGCAGTCGTGGCTGGGCTTGGGGGAATAATTTGGAGGCGAGGAGCTGGTGGCCCGATTTTCAGGCTGAGGCTCCAGCCCCCTAGCCCATGTTCCCAGAGCCTCTAAGAAAGAAGAGTCCTGAGGAGCTGGCAACCCCCGAAACTCTGAGGGGGGATATGGGGCTCCCAAGCAGCTGTCTCTTCAAGAAGGCTCCTCCATCTCCCAGGCCCCAATGGCAGGCGCTGTTTCCATGCTCAGGGCCTTTAAGAGATGGGGAGGGAGGACTTAACTGTAGGCACAGAAGGCTGGGTGGGGTGGGCCTAGGCAAGGCAGGCCAGTGAGGAGGGACAGGAGGTTTCTAGAAAACCCTACAGGCATTGGTCCAGGGGGAGCCGCCTCTCCTCAGCTCCACCTGTTGCCTGTAGGACTGCAGGCCCCTTGGTGCCAAATCTTGTTTTTGTTTTTTCTTCTTTGTAGTGCTGGGGGTGAGGGGATGGAACCTAGGGCCTTGTGGATGCTGGGCAAGTGCTCTACCACTGAGCTACACCCCAGCCCTCCAAGAATTTTTAATACAAAAATTTTATATGGAATTTTCAAGTTCTTGTAGGAAATCTAGTTTTAAAATGTTGGCAATTAAAAAAAAATCCATGGACAAACTAAATGTTTGAGGGCCATCAGTTTGAAGACTTAACTGGCTCCAGGGGAACTGCACGTAATGGGGGCCTGGATACAAGCCGAGGGCTCCTTCCTGCCAGTCTGCCTCCGCATCCTGATAGCAGCATCTGGGTCCTCTGAGGTCCTGACCCTAGGATCTTAATCTCTAAAGGGTGCCAAGGTTCCTGAAATTAAGTCACCTTGTGCTTTCCTCCCCATTCCCCAGTTCATGATCTTTAATGTCACTGCCACTGTTCTCTACATCACTGCCTTCATCACCTGCTCTGCGGCAGTGGACCAGACGTCCCTGAAGGGCTCTCGGCCATATAACCAGCGTTCTGCTGCCTCTGTGAGTAGGCCCCTCGGGGATAAGCCTGGGTCCCTGACTGAACTCATTGGTCCCCTTGGTCTGAGGCCAGGCACCTGGCACCTCCTGAGTGGTCACCACATGATCCCTCAGTGGGTCTCAGGAGGGAGCCACGCTGCCCTCAGGCTTCCTTAATCCCCAGTAAAACCTGGAGGGGTGCCGGGCGTGGTGACACACACCTGTAATCCCAGCACTCAGGAGGCTGAGGTAGGAGGATCACTGAGTTTGAGGCCAGTCTGGGCTACATAGTAAGTTCAAGGCCAGCCTGGACTACACAGCAAGACACTGTCCCAAACAACCCGGAAGAGTTTGGGAATGGTGTGTGTGGTCAGTGAAAGTTTGGGATGGGACCAGGGATTTAGCTCAGTGGTTTTGCGGCCTGCTGCGCAAGCGCAAGGACCCAAGTTCAATCCCCGCTACCAAAAAAAATGGGTTAACTAGAACTCTGCTGAAAATCAGTTGTGACACACTGATTTATGGTCAAATGTGCACTTGAACAGTGTTAACTATGGTTGACAAGGGCACATTGCAAAAGTTTTGGATTCGAACAATGTCTAGGATTTACACGGTCTCCTATGAAGCCCAAACTTGGCCATGTCAAGTGGCCAGAAAAGTGTCTTCAGTCCCCTCTGTACCTGTCAGGCTTCACTCTGCAGGGCTCTGTACACTTTCCTCTTAAAAGAGGAAGGAACCTCTAGCTCAGAGAGGTGAAGGAATGTGCCTGGAGGCATGGTCATGTCCAGGGTAGGGCAGCCTTAAATGGCTTGTTTTGTTTTTGGTACCAGGGATTGAACTCTGGACCTTGCACTTGCAAGGCAGGCAGCAGGACCCCCGAGCTAAATCCCTGGCCCTTGAATGGCTTTGAAGTTAGTGAACAGGACAGAAACGTGGAGCTTCTGAATGGAGATACAGGTGTGAGTGTAGTGGCATAACTGGTTCTAGAAAATTCCAGGGTGGCTTTTTTTGCAATGCTAGGGACCAAACCCAGGACCTTATGCAAGCTGGGGAAGTGCTCTACCACTCAGCTACATCCCCAGCCCTGAATGTTAACTTTTAAGAATTGAGCCCTTGCTAGGTGTCTAAAGTAGGACCTGGTCCATGGTCACTCCTTTCACTGTCCAGTTTGATACTCTTGTTTGTGGTGCCACCCAGCATACCTTGCCTATGTGAATCTAATTCTTTCTCACTTGGATGGAATGGGGGCATCCATAGCCCCAAAGCAAGCAGCTGTCCAATGAGTAGGGCAGGGGTGGGGTAGGGGCTACTGAAACAGCTTGTCCTGGCTAATGGAGGGTGGTGCCCTGGGTTTTACTCAGGGCCATGTGGGGAAACCTGGGTGTCCTCAAGTTTGCCCAATACTATGTCCTACTCTGTCCATTCTGACCGCATCGGCACCCCTCCCCTAGTTCTTCGCCTGTCTGGTGATGATCACCTACGGAGTGAGCGCATTCTTCAGCTTCCAGGCCTGGCGAGGAGAGGGCAGCAACGCAGCCACCAGTCAGATGGCTGGTGGCTACGCCTAAAGCACCTGTGCCGTGGCCCACCCTGGGGCCGAAACTGCCACTGGGTCACAGTGCAGGGACCCAAGAGCCCGAGGCAGGGCCCTGTGTGGAGTCAGCCCGGTGGGGCCACACCTGCTCCTCCCTGGTCTCCCAGCTCGCCTAAGGACACAGGCCTGAAGTGGCTGTGAGGGCTGGCAAGAGCCAACAGCTGTGACTTCTCCCCCCCACCCCTTATTCAGCAGGTGACGGGGGTTGTGAGGCTTCAGAGGACTTCAGCATCCCAGGCTGGGGGCCACCCTTCTCACCAGCACTAAACACACTAACAAAGACATAGATCTGCAGCCCTGACCCGCCCTAGTGTGAGCCTAACAAGCCACTCAGACTTATCTTAGTCTTTGTTCCAGGAGAGGTGAAGAAGCCACACAAACCATTCTTTCTGATTCTCCCCTCCCCACAGTAAACCTGTCACCTGTAGGGAGACCGTTTACAGGAAGACAGGATTTCAGACATCCTGGTTATTTAACACGGATCGGTTTTAAGCACCTTCTCAATGACGTCAAACCTCTCCGGGTCCCCCTCCCTCGGTCAGTCTCAGCTGTAATTTTCCCTTTGGGAAAAGCCTACATCAGTGCCACTGCTTTCCCCCTCGCTGTTGATTAGTCACATGGGACACGGAGGGAGGGAAATAGGACTTTGCCTGGTGAGCTGTCATGTGGTTGGTCATGACTTTGTTGTATATTTTTTTACAAAAATAAAGATGGAAGAGCTTATTTGGAAAAGATGTGGGGAATCACAGTTGTTGAATTGTGTTAACTCCAGGCAGCTGCAGGATAAGACCACGGAAAGAATGGCTGTCACAGGGCAGCTCAAGCTGTGGGGTTACTCAGCCACCTCTGTCCTGAGGGAGACACCTTCCTGTCTGCTTTGTTGGAACAGTCCTGGCAGAAGTTCAAAAGCACCTCATTTTATTCCTAAGTATCCCAGGGGCTGGGGATGTAGCTCAGTGGTACAGCGCCTGCTCAGTATGCTTGAGGCCCTGGGTTCAGTCCCTAGCATCACACTGCACACAAATAACAAAAAGGTTTTCCAGAGTTAACAATATTTAATTAACACCCTGGCTTTATTAGGCAAGTTAGGTGATCTTACAGATACAGTATTTCAATACTGTTAACTACCTCAAAAATTTGTGAAGCTCCAAGATGACACAAGGTAGCTACCACAAGATTCTGAGCTGGTACAGACATCTGAGCTCTCCTAACCTTATTTTTCTGATACCACTGGGAAACACTCAATAAACCAAAGAGATTTCTAAGTACCCTGTGATCACCCCCACCCCTTTTTATTTTTTTAGGAGACAGGGTCTCATTGTCTAGTCCAGGCTGGCCTCAAACTCTTGGCAATCCTCCTGCCTCAGCCTCCCAAGTGCTGAGATTACAAGCATGCATCACTATGCCCAGCTCTGTGGTCCTTTTAAGCTGGCAACAATGAAGAGTCAAACAGCTGTGGATGACCCATTGTGTTACTGAGGGATGGGGATCACAGGAGGCCCATGTCCCAGTTTATGCTGTGTCCTGGTATAATAACAGCATCTCTTTACTCTCAATGTTAAAGTTTGAATAATAAATTATAGTCATTCCAGTATCATGGTGAAAAAAGATTTTGATTTTAAGGAAGAGCAACCAAGTTTGAGGCTTAAGAGAAAACAAAATCCCAGACAAGCTACAGCCCACCTGGTTTTCCAACACCTAACATGTCCTGTTTTAGGGCAGACGTACAGACTTCGGCTCTTCACTGCTGCTTCCCGGGGGTGGAGGGTCCTAAGCCATAGACGAGCACAGCTACCTCCTGGGCTGATCCTAAATATCACTCTCACCCAAGGCCATCCCCAAGTCCCATCGGAGGAAGTGTCTTAGTGGACAACAAAGAGATGAATTTCTAGTTTAAGAGAAATATGCTGGACATGGTGGCACATGCCTGTAATCCTAGCTATTTGGGAGGCTGAGGCAGCGGGGATGGCAAGTTAGAGACCAGCCTGGGCAACTTGCCAAGACCTTGTCTCAAAATTAAACTAAAAAGGGTGGGGATGCAGCTCATGGCAAAGTGCCTGCCTACCTACCTTGCATAAGGATCAATCCCTAGTACTTGGGGTCAGGGCGGGGGGGATCTGCTAGCCTACTTAGAATATTAAACTATTAAGACAGGGTCTCACTATGTAGTCCAGGCTGGCCTCAGTGAACTCACTATGTAGCCCAGGCTGGCCTTGAAATCGTGGTAGTCCTCCTGTCTCAGCTTCCCAAGTGCTGGGATTACAAGCCGTTTTTTGTGTAGAAAGGGTGAAAAGATAGTCTGCCTTTCTTTTTGGTCTTTCTTCATTATTTCATCTCTGGACTTGTTGCTTGCCTTTTCTCAACCAGGCAGGCTGACCAACAGCTCTTACCACCTGCTTCCAATGCGTTGGCTCTGATGGATGGTCCTACTTACAAAGCAGCAGGAAGGGTAGCCAGCCTAGGAGAGGTGGCACAGATGGAGCTGGCTCTGAGAGTGACTTGGGTTTGGAGGGACCAAAGCACTACTAGCTGTGTTGGTGGCTACATTGAGGAGCAGGGATGACTCATTTAGAGTGATGGTTCTTGTAAAACACCTCAAATTTTACTCATGTACAAAAGTAAGCAACGCATTAGTACAGAAAAACACATAGCTTATAGCTTGTCCTTTAAAACCAGAATGGCCACGTGAAGTGAAAAGAAGTACAGATTCTTATTTTCACTATAAAAAATGAAATCAAAAGTACACATTAGGAATTGAACCGTTTTTCTTCTTTGCAGAGACGTGACTTCTAGGTTGGCAATGGTCTACCAAACACTGTGCTAAGTCAGAGCTGACAGGTGACCAGCAGAGGGTCCACGGCCCCAACTCATGCTGAGCCAGACAGGGAGCACCATGTTGGCAGGAGAGGTTTGGACAGGAAGAAGAAATTGCAGCCTGTACCTATTCCAACAGAAAGGCTTGTACAGAAAAGATTTAAGCAAGCATGCAGAAACACTCTTAACATGCTCCAACAACAGGACAGCATTAGTTTACTATGATAGAAAGATAGCTTTAGTCTATCTACAGCACATGCATCCACAGCAATGTAGAAAGCACTGTTGCCTTCACAGCACTGACAATTACAGAGCACACAGCATATAATACTTTGATCTTTAAGTGGGTA